TAAGGATGTTAATTGGAGGTATGTATGTCATATTTTGAGTTAGAAATGTGGACAATAGCTTGATATCATAAGTTGGAAACATGTTTTTACATTTAGGGTTTATAATTTGTATATATAGAATGTTAAATTTGAATAAAAGTGTCAATTTGTGAATATATTAAACTTTTTAAATGTTTGATATAAGTTTTTATTTAGGGTTTTGAATAATCCATCGAAAATAATTGATCTAGGTTTTCGGTAGATTTCTACGGAAGTCTACAAAGCATTTAGGGTTTCATTTAGCGTTTAGGGCTTTGTAGGCTTCAAACAAAGTCTACGAAACCGAAAATTTTAACCAAACCGAATGTTTTTACATGCCTATATAAACTCATAATTCCGTAATCCTAATTTTTTTTGTAAAAAAAACTACATCAAAATTTTAATTATGTATGTGAAATATGATTTGATCTAGCATTCTCCAAGATCCAACTAAAAGACTAATTTCTGAACAAAATGAAGAACATAAAAGAAAGAGATGAATAAAAGATAAAAAGGTGAAGAATCCCTCTCTAGAGTGGCATAAATGATAAAGATCAACCATAACTTCAAGAGAACAGTTTGGATCTAAATCCAACTCTAGAGGAAGAGAAACTTAGGTTAAAATCTGTTTTTACAAGTATTTATAGGAGGAGAACAAAGGGAACTCGGGTCAACCCTAAATATTTTGGTGAACATTCTGTCTGTGCACGCGATATCGGTCACCCTCGGCATTTTGACCGATATCCTCAGCTTCCAGTGAGTCTTCATTCTTTTTTATTTTCTTCTTCACGGTAGATTTGATATGCGCCCGGTAAATCGATCATACCTTCCGCAATATAGCTCCAAATAAGTTGAAACTACCTCCATTGGAAAGCTAACTCAATTTCCTTTCTTCTCACCCAATTTCAGATTAAAATGGGTGTGGGAAGGTCTTCAACCGATCTGATCTTTAAGGCGCTTTTAACTGGTTCTACGGATCCGCGGTTTAGGCTTGGGATATTGGTTGCCACTGATAAGGAACAACTATTGTGGCGACCCAACCCGTCAAATAAAATAAAATAAAAAAAATTTCGATCCAGATCACTATTATCATAAATAATGATCCTCAACGGTCCAATAAACAACAGCGCGGAAACAATGATTCAAACAATTTCATTACAATTATCATTTAACAAGCCCATACTTATTAATTACTAGTTCAATTCGGCAATACACATAGTTCTGAAATTGCTAACACCCTAGCAATTCTAACTTATTACACGA